GGAGCTTTACTCCATTCGCGTTATCACAATCAACTCTGCTTTGAAAAGGCAGCTCTTCCCCAGTCACATTTTGAGTGCCTTCCAACCTGAGGGGCTCATTTTCCGGCACTATATCTGACAGTGTTTCTCTGCTATTCATAAGGTTATCAGTGACTAAAGATTTGGAAGTAGTTCATCACTCTTTCTTCCTAGTCTGTCTTTGTCTGGAAGCTCATCTGAAACCTGCTCACCATGGGTGACCCTGCTGGTATTTAAAATACCGGTGGCATAGCTTTCAGAATCACAGCAATTCACAAGCCAACACAGTAAGACAAACTGACAGACGAGCGGTGGCCGTTTGGTTTTAATTATTGAATGATGAAGAAAGCATCAATAGAAGATGGAAGGAATACACAGTGTCACTGTACCAAAAGGAAATGGTTAATGTTCAATCATTTCAAGAGGTAGCATATAATCAAGAGCCAATGATACTGAGGGAGGAAGTCCAAGGTGCATTGAAGGGATTGGCAAAGAACATGGCACCAGGAATTGATGGAATAAAAATTGAAATCTTTCAAGAAAGTGAAGCGGCACAGGAGGCACTCACTCATCTCTGCCAAGAAATCTGAAAGACAACTATCTGGCCAACTGACTGGAAGAGATCCACATTTGTGCCCATACAAAGACTGGTGAACCAATGGAATGTGGAAATCATTGGACAATCTCTTTGATATCCCATTAGAGTAAAGTTTTGCTAAAGGTAATACAGAAACAGCCACAATGATACACTGACAGAGAACTTCCGAGGTTCAAACCGGATTCAAAAGAGGCCGTGGAGCAAGGTATATCGTTGCTGATGTGCAATGGATCTTGGCTGAAAGCATAAAATATCAAAAAGATGTTTACCTGTGCTTTATTGATTACACAATGACTTTCAATTATATGGATCATGACAAGTTATGGACAACATTGCAAAATATGAGTATTCTGGAACACTTAATTTTGCTCATGAGGAATCTATACCTGGACCAAGAAGCAGTTGTTCTAACAGAACATAGGAACACTGAATGGTTCAAAATTAAGAAAGGTGTGCGACAAGGTTGTATTCTTTCACCATACTTAATCAACCTATATGCTGAGCAAATAATACGAGAAGCTGGATTCTATGAGGAAAAACATGGCATCGGGATTGGAGGAAGACTCATTAACAACTTGTGATACGCAGATGATACAACCTTGCTTGCTGAAAGTGAAAAGGACTTGAAATATTTACTGATGAAGATCAAAGAGCACAGCCTT